CGTTTAGTTGGTTGGGTGGTTAAAAGGGCGGTGGTTAGTTGGTTTGGTTGTTGAATGGTGGGTGGTTAGTTGGCGAGTGTATGGTTTTTGGTGGTTAGTTGGTTGGGTGGTCCAATGGTGGGTGGTTAGTTGGTTGGGTGGTTGAATAGTGGGTGGTTAAGTTGTCGGTTGGTTAGTTGGTTGTGTGGTTGGATGGTTGGTTGTTAGTTGGTAGGCGGTTAGCTGGTGGGTGGTTAGTTGGTTGGTTGGCACGTCGTTGATTGGGTGGTTGGTGGTTAGTTGGTGGGGGGTTAGTTGGTTAGGGGGTTGGATGGTTGGTGGTTAGTTGGTTGGATGTTAGGTTGGTTTGGTAGTTGGTGGTTAGTTGGTTCGTTGCTGGTTAGTTGGTTGGTTGGTTGGTTTGTTGGTTGGTGGGTTAATTTGTTGGTTGGGTGGATGGAGGTTCAAAGAGTAGCTAACTCTTGGCAAGAGGGATAGTTGAATATTAATTTGATGTATTGAACATTTGTGATTCGAATTAGTTTAACAGAAATTAATATAAAGTTTGGTTGGTCAGAATGAGTAGCTCTGTCGAACGGCGACAGAGATGTAACAAATAACTATTTATAATTTATTTAGTTCAACGCTTGTGCGTCAATAATGTTTAGCGGTAATTCTGTTACTTTTAACGGCAAGGTCAAAGTTATCATTTGTACGCATGAAACTTGTTCACGGGCATTTTTATACACAAGGAAAATGTGTCAAATATTTGAACACATAATTGAAATTTTTTTTGCATTGACATTACGATTACGATTATTTTTTTTAATATTTTGATTTCAAAAAAAAATTTCGATTATGTGTACAGAAATGCCCGTGTACAAGTTTTATATGTACGAATGATACCTTGCCCTCTTAACGCTATGGTAGTTAACCAAAGTTAACTAAAAATCATAATGGAATAAGTCAGCGACTTATAAGTCGATTGTTGCGGTGTTGCGGAAGCGGTCGAGTCTGGTACCGATTTACTCGTTTCAACAAATAGAATTTAATAGTTATTATATCCACATCGTGGTGTAATTTGTTTATGCTGTATAGCCTTAAACATTATTCATTAAAATTACATGTAAAAAAGATCGAGATTGTTCGGTGTTGAAAGTCGTTTTATCGGTAAACACATGGCTTCGGAGAAAGGAGTGAAAAGTAATAAAACTCCAAAAATAGATATAACAGCCGCTCGGCGCGTGAATAATACGCTCGAACTACAAGTTACAAACTATGTACAAGTAAGACGTTTGCCTAAAATTCAAATTGTTTAATAGTATTTAATTGGGAAAAAACAACATTATTCAAATTATATTGAACTCACCGATGATTTATAAAATGCGAGTGTTGCAAAGTTCTTTGATTCACACGAGTCCACCCAATCCAAAATATAATCGTTGTCTCTATCTGGACCACTATCATTCGGTTCTTCTTTCACTCTAAAGAATAATAAAGTTTTATGAATCTATTGCTTGAAAATTTACTAAGTCATGTACGAAAAAAGTTGAACCTAATTGTGTCGTCTCTGTTTTCCATCGCTCGCTTGATCACACGTTATTACGCTGAATTTGCACAATAACAACTGAGAAAATATTTGAGGTTAATTTTATAAACACTTGCTTGCTACAGGAATTTTGATCTTCGCCAGTACAATAACTGAATGTACTACGCGTACATTAGCGAGGTATACTTGCGATTGCGATTTTTTTTTTTTTTAGTTGCTTACGGCCCTTTCTGCTACTAGGCTAATTAGCCAACCTCACCGTTCTACCTAACGGTGGGTCTTGCGTGTATATATAAGTGTGTGTGTTAGTGTATTAGCGTGTACCTATAGTCGATATGGTTGCGATTGCGATAATTCTTTGACGACACTTTCCCCCTCTATCGGTCGTATGCAATAATGAATACTACGATACAATACAGAAGCACTCATGTGTCATCAAAAATAAGTACTCCAAAATTGTAATGAAAATTCAATCTATTCTTTTTGAAAATTTTGAATACAATTTGAACATAATGGTATTCCACTTGTGATATTAGAAGTGAATTTCAATTAGCCATCGGAGTTGTTGGTGGTAGTGAAATAAATACGGCGTGGTCACGTCGATAATTTTATAATTTTACATAATAGGCTATTTTTGACCGCTTAAAAAAAATCCCCTTGGCTCATTGATGTAAATTACTTATTCGCTAAAAGTTCGTTTTAAAAATACCTTCTTACATCGAACATCAAAATTTAGGTCACCACAGAGGCTCTTGGAGAAATATTCAGTACAAGTTTCAGACAACGGGATGGAAATTTTAATTTTTGGGCTGTGTTTTATGTCCCCTGGAAAAGTCTAGTTTACCTACCCCCGCAAAAGTAATGACTTGATTGTGTCTCTGGAATCGGCACCGAAAGAAAATAAACGTGAATATGAATTCCGGCGCGTACGAGCCGATCTTGGGGTCTAGAATTTCGGTTTTGGGACTCTTTTTTGTTATGTTTTATATCATAGTAAAATCACCTCTAAATCGTCGACTTCCCGGAATATTAAAAAAATATTATTTCGACTCGCGTATACCTGAGCTTATGCATATTTCATACGCTACTCATGTGCGTGTACTGCAGCCTCGCGGCTACTACTTACCAAATGACGAGCTGCACAGGCCTAGACTACCACTGCCCGTCCATTTAGCTCGCGTAATCTTGCCACAGTTTTTACGAAAAAGGATGAGGAGGAGGAGAAAAAGGAGAAAAATATAAGTAATTTTCCGGTGTATAATGTTGAAAAAAAGAAGAGAAGAGAAAGAGAAGGACTCGTGCTTTTATGCAAAACTGTCAAGTAGTATTACACGTGGTGGGAGGCTGCAAAAAATACGTCTCGCGCGCTCACAATGTGCTGCTATACACATATATCCTAGCTTCAGTGCGTAAGAGCGTGTGAGCTCGCAAGTACTCTCTTCCCCCTTTCCAGTTGCTCTAAAATAAAAGCTCGTTTTATTAGGCTCTCTCTCCTCTCACTCTCTCTCTCTTCTCGCGCGTCGAGATCTCATTTTTGCCGTGAGGTCAAAAGTCGACTGCTGGCGCTGTTATATGCGTTGCCAGGGAAAAAAAATTTACCCACCGAATCGAGTGGCGAGTTACGATTCAATTAATATCCCTCGCGCTTGCGACGAGGACGATCTATCGCGCGAAAATCTCTCGAAGTTGGCTGAAAATTTCCCGTAAAAATGCAGCCTCCTAAGGTACTGTTTGCTGTCACTACACACCTGCAGCTTCCAATTCAACGTGCAGTGCGCAAAGCTCGCCTCGCGGCTTGGCAAAACGAAGCAAAAGTCAGTCGCTGCGCAGCCTATAGCCCTCCCCAATTCATATTACGCTCCGACGAAACTCGTTTTTAAGTAAAATTACGAATAAACTTGACTCGAGCTGATAATGGAAACTTGTGCTCGAATATTACATTGCTTGGCACACTTGAAACTTTCTCTCTCTCTCTCTCTCTCTCTGCTGCTGCTGCTGCTCGCCTAAATATATAAGAACGTGCATCGTCACACGAGCTCCAAAAGTCATGTCACGCATAGCCAGCCCCTCTCTTCGAGGCTGTATTCTGTCGAGTATATATATATCACACAAGTCGCGCATACAGTAGCAGTAGCATAGATCCCGTATAGTCAGGCACGTTGAGCCTTATGCGTACATATATATACACACACGAGCTTTAGGAATAATATAAATATATAAAATAGAGAGGCATATAAGTGTAGACGCAGACAGGCGCGCGAGCTTCGCTTCGCATTCAGAGCCAGCCGCAGGCCGCCGCCGCCACCGCCGTCGCTTCATCCTTCTCCCTCCACCCCCCGCGCAAGCTCCGCGTGCCAGCTGCACATATTGCTTATGATTTTCGGCACATGTATAAATGCGCGCGGGCTTGAAATTTTCGTGCTGCTGCCGCTGCTGCCGTCGCCGTCGTCTCTCTTTCTGCATACGAGTACGAGACTTTATCTGTGTGCGACTGTGTGAGTATGTGCATGTTTGCGAACGCGAGCGGCAAAGGTCGAATGAATGGCAATGTGCAGGCAGAGACACACTTTAGATCAGTCGCTCGCACGGTGTCTTCTCGAGTAACACACACCACCACCCCTGTTACGCCGAGGTTTGCATATTCTAGCCTATTTCACCAAGAAAGAGAGAGACAAAGACAGAGAAAGGGAGAAAGCTCAGAAAAAAATTATTTTCTACCTCTTTTCTATTATTTTTTTTACCTTTTCTTTTCATCGGCAAAGGAGTACTTTTTTTTTCATTATTAACGTTTACTTTTACTTGGGTGTGTATGCATTGCATAAAAAAAAGAAGTGATTATTAAAAAGGAGAAAGTAATAAACAGAGAAAGAGAGAAGGTAGAGGGTATAGCTTGAGCTAAGCAGTCGTTGGCAAAGGCGAACTTACTTCTTCTTCTTTTTTTTTTCAACTAAAACAAATAAAAAGACTTGACTCCTTCCTTGCTCCCAATTTTTTTTTTCTATCTTGTGTCAGTAAATAACTTTGAAACTTATTAAAGTCTCAGAATTTAAAAAAGCCTTTGGAAAATTTTGCTCATTATTACAAACGCAGGAATAAATAAGTGTTTGTTTGTTTTTCTCTTTTCAGCAAAATTCTCATCGTCTCCGTGTCGTCGTCGACGACGACGACATCGTATTTCTAGTAACTCGTTTGGTGGGCAGGATCCCCTCCCTCGCCTCCCCGTCGACGAGGAAAGACACGGGAAAATATTAATTATTTTGCAACTTTTCTCTTTTGCGGCAAAACACACGGAAGCATAAACGGAGAAAGGAAGCGAGGTGGAAGGGGTGCTGCGGTGTAGGTGGGAAAGTCAGCAGTAGCGAGCAACAGCGGACTGACAGCTGCTCCGGCGCGTCGAAAAAAGAGTCAAAAATATAATGTACGAGCCCGAGCAGCAGGAGGAGCGGCGCCGAGCCGAGGAGCGGGAAACGGTTCGCCAAGGCACCGAGCTCTGGCGAGCACGCAAGGAGCAGTTGCTGCGCCAGAAACGCCACGAGCAATCGCAGGTGACTCGCCCGAGACATTTTTACCTTACCTTTACCTCTTTGCTGCTGCTGCTGCTTCATTTTTTACATTCACATCCGAGCTCGCGAAGGGCTTATACGTACAAAAAACTCCAATTGAGAGTTAGAACGACGAACAATAGGTGGGAGACACGAGCTGCTCACGTGGCTGCAGAATGCAATTATCGCGCTCGGCGTCGGCAAGTACGAATGACAAATGAATTTTTAATGCTCGCCGATGCGAGTGTCGGTAGTCGGGGGCTGCGGACGGATATCTCGCGCGCGCCGGATATCCACTTGCAAATAATGACGCGCGTCCGTTAATAATGAAGCCTTATAAGTCAGTACAGCTCGTCGCTGCAGCTACTAGCAAAGTCATATGCTCTCGACGCGCGTTATAATAATGCATATATTGGCTTGTGTCTGTGTGTGTGTTGCAGTTGCGTCGCATGCTGGCCAATTACTGGCCGTGGGGCCGAGCCGGGGCCGGTGCGCCCTGCGCCGCGAGCCTACGCAAGAGGAACATTCCACTGGACCCGTCTACGCAGCAACAGCAGCAGCGATGCCCGCTTCAATTCCCACAGGTACGCAGACGAGCAGCCGGCCTCCGTGTGTATGTACATAGAGGCGCGCGACAAAAATCCTATACGTATACGTGTATACACTGTACTATAGCGCTTCGGCTAAAAACGACCGGCTTGTGCTGCACTCGCACCCACGCACTGCAGCGCAGCGAGCGAGACTCGAGGCCTAGAGAGCATAGCACACACAAACACACACACACGCACGTATACACACCTGTAGTCGGTAGCGGCTGTCACTTGGGATATCAGCGCCCCGTGTGCAAGAGAGAGAGAGAGAGATCTGGCACACAAGGTTATACATTATTCAGGCTATTGCTCAGCAGCGAGCGCGCGAGGCTTGTGTGTAGAGTATGCGGGTGTGAAAACAGAAGAGAGCGAGAGAAAAAAAGGGGGAGGTGGGTGAGGGAATCTCGCGTCGAGCTTTCATTTTTAGCCGGATTGAATTTTCTATAGCAAAGTTGCTACTGGAGCGCTGCAGATTCTCCCTTACTTAATGTAGTAATAGCATTTTTAAGACGATTACTTGGGCAACTCCCTCCCCTCCCGCGTTTCCTGTTTTTTTTCTCCCCTTTAAATTCTAATGGTAGCAGGGGACAGGTATGGCTCGTCGTCGTATACTCGTCTCCTAAGCCATCGAGGCAGCGCAGGCACGTAGTTGTTCTCTCTCCGTGCGCACAGCCCCGCATGTATCATAGAGCTTTGCTTTCCTCGCAGCCATACATAATTCCCTGCAGCACCTCGACTCGGGGCGGGCGCATCGACAGAAAATCGAAGACGCGCAGATATCCGCGAGCTTGCAATATGCATACATGTATACGGGAGAGCCCCAGCCGCGCACGTATACGTATGCCTTTGTTTCTTCAGCTACTGTGCGGAGCGCGCATCTTTCTCCCCAAACCGTCTACATAGTGGCGTGTGCTGTTGCTATACTGCAGCTCCCTCGCACCTATACTCACCTACCACACAACACACACACATATATACATACACACAAGAGCTGTACACTCACGGAGCCGCTGACCTGGTTTTTATTTCTTCCTCGTGCTTGTTTTCTTTTTCTTTATTTCTTCTTTTTGATGCCGAGTATTCGTCAAGGCGCGCACGCGAGCGACACATTGAGTACATTTGTGTTTTCGGCTGCTGCTGCTGCTCTAGAAATGCCTCGAGAAGATCATGCCACGCACACGTTGGTGTACACTAGAGCCGCTCGAGTTACAGTTATTATAATAAATCTTTCGTACATACGTACACGTGACTGTGCCGCGAGAAGCTTTTTCTCTATTTCGCGCCGCGTGTACTATTTATACTACCGCGAAGAAGTAGCTATCGCGCGCAGGAAGAACAAATAGATTCGGAGACGATCGCAGCCGAGCCGTGGAAGAAACGTCGTTGCGGGAATTTCGCCTCGTTTTATGCACATGCACACACGCGCGTATACATTGTTGCGTTTTCTTACTTACCTCGCCTAAAGCGCACAATCCCAGTCGCGAGCTTTCTTTTATTCGTTTCCTCGCTCGTGTGGATTCTCGTGTGTGTGGCTCGGCTCTATACATTGTGTAAGCATGAATTTTATCGATCGATACAAATACTCGACACATATACAGACACAGAGATAGAGAGACACGTACACGAGCGCAGTTAGCTATGGCTCGGGACACGCGACGCTTGAGCTTGAAAGTTGACATGCTAAGTCGATGGATTATCCGTGTTTCATGTACGCCGTGCGCTGAACCACCGCTGCTGCACTACGTGTATACGTAGTTTACGTACCTTACATACGTGTAGCCGTTCTCCAGTGCAGAGCGCACGACGAGCCAGCGCACACACAAACGAGCACAGTCCCGGCCCAACCGGGCACTTCGGCTTCCACGGCCCGTGGATTTGAAATATCGAGTCGCTGCGAGCAAACTGGAGCTATGCCCGCGATCGTGACTCGCGACGCGCCCAAAGGCTCCTTGCCTGGATCGTTTTGAATTTTATTTCCACTGCAGCCGCGAGTTATAGACTCTATGGATGGCTGTTTTCCAGCTGTACGCACTTGCGATCGACTGCACCGCGGGCTGCAACTTTCAGGACTTACGATTACGTCGAGCCTCTGTAGCGCCACACCGATTCGCCGACGTATTATTAGTACGGTGGTAAAAAAAATTGGGGAAAAATTAGTTTTGGATTTCTGCGCCAAGTTTCAGCAATTTGGAGCGTTCGTTCTGGAGCTGCTCGCCGATACATATACGTAATACGAGGCGCGAGCGCGCGATTACATTACGTTATAATTACGCGCTGCGCTCAAACTCGAGCGCAGTATAACATCATATAATCTACACGCGAAATATATGTGCTCGGACGCATAATATACGCATACGTGAACGAGTACGCCTGCTTAGCGAAACAAAAACAGCAGTCGCACATACAAGCATATATATGTAGAGGAGCAGTTGAAATTCGAATGATAATTTCTCGGGCGTAATTCTAATTCTGGATAGAGGCTTTTACTCTCGTCGTATACGCGCTGGGGCAGAGGATCGCAGCGAAGCAGATATTATATACAACGTGTAACTTGAGCGCATTATATACATTTTATATATATAGGAGCTTTCTCGCGTTAAGTTTATTTTAAATTATGAATGATAATGTTGAAAGGTCCCGGGTATATAATTAAGGAAAAGTCCCGGACTCGCGCTCGAACTGACTGGCTGGATCAAAAGCAGATTCTACCGCCCTCCCTAACACAGTGCAACTTTTTCCAAAGTTTACTTTTGGATTTTGCATCCCTCGGTCTACGTATAGCACGCATATTTAGCAGACCAAAGGGAAAGAGAGAGAGAGAGAGAAGGTGTAATGATGCCACATCCAATTTGGATTTTTATCGACTGTTTAATTTTAATTGATCAATTTCCCGGGTAAAAAGTTACGTTGAAAGAGTATATGAGGTGAAATATCCGTGGAATGCGGACGAGTTGCGAAACGAGCATCGAGTAGCGCGTCGATGTTGTGCGGCCGAAGGGACACGAGTAGCAGCAGTAGCCGCGTGCGGTTAAAGTGAAAAACAAACCGTTGGCCGCGCGTATAAAGTATTTAATATATGCGCTCGGTCGTGTCTTTTTTAATAATTAAATCGGTTATGCTGATGGGATACTACGGCGATACTGCGCGCTGTCGTTGCAGGAGCTGCGAGGCGCTGTACCGCTCTGGCGGCGTTGTGCTCCGAAAGTCTTGATTTTTAATTAAAATCAGGTCGCGCGCGCTCGCTCGCTTGGCACAGAGAAATGCGCGCCGCATAGCCAGCAGCATCACAGCAGCATCTTGTGTGCATGTATGTGCGACGAGGCGAGGAGGCGATGGCTTGCTGTATATATATATGCATTAGCTTTGCTCTTTTGCATTAGCACGCGTTGCAGTGGTGGCAGCGGTGGCAGTAGTAGTAGTAGTCTAGGTATATAGCAGCAGGAGGCTGAAGCAGCAGCAGCAGCAGCAGCAGCGCCGAAAGACACCTGAGGGAGAAGGATGCATCTAATTGAACGATTCTCTTGCGGCAAGCGAGCGGATATAGCTCGCAGCGGTGCCGCTGCCGGATGAAAATTTAAACGGAAATTTATTAGCAGCTGAAGCTCCCCCTGCCCCCCCACCGTTCGGTATTCTTGGCTAAGCTTGAGCTGCTGCTGCTGTGTACATATACTTGCGCGAGGCGCGCATGCAATGTCCCATGACTCGAGCTGTCTGTGCGCTCTTCCTCCCCTCCACTCCTCTTCTCTCTCTCTCTCTCTCTCTCTTTGTTGCAATGTATTTGTGTGCAGTTTGTGCTTTATTCAGCCAACTGCAGCCGTGCAACTAGATAGATGTGTTCGGCAACGCTCGTCGGGCCTGCGCTCAATTCCTCTCTCTCTCTCTCTTTCTCTCCCTCAACATATATACACAACAATGACGTATAATACCCGGTGCCTCGAGTGTAGCTCAATAATGAACTTTTGCAGTTGGGGCAAGTTTCCTTCGAGCGAAAGTTTATCTATTATTGGAAAAGTCTCCGGTTAAAACGATAAATATTCATTGACCATATTGTTGCGCACTGCGCCGCAGCAGCTCGTACTTTTACGTGTATCGAGCTCGGTCCAAGCTATTCCCAGCACCTATACACACGTACACATACACACACACACACACACACTCCTGCAAGCTTTTACCTCTCTTAGGTACTGCATTAGTCCAGGCGCTTACGCTAGATGCACACCTATAAAACTTATGCGCGCACGCTGGCACGTACTTTGCTCGCTAAACTATTGCGCCGAGTGACAAACGTGTCGAAATTCGTGACGGCCTATAGTTCCGATATTATATCGACGTCTTTCCAAAATCGTTCGGTCAAAAACTTTTTGCAACTCAGAGGGGACGAAGAAAACGATGCGTTTATGCACTCTAAAGCGATGGATGAATGGAAGATTCCAAGTGTATTTTATGCGTCGTGATTAGTTTCTTCGGTAAGATGACGACGAAGACGACGACTTTCGGATTCAATTTGTCTGCGTCTGTTTGAGTGTCAAGTGCTTTTGATGAGCGAATATTCTATAGATATGCAAATCTCATCGCGCAGTCGTCGTCGTCGTCGTCGTCGTCGTCGTCGCCGGTCGTCGTACCGTTTTCAGGTAAATCCCCGAGATTTCGGCTAGCAAGATAATCTGCTCCAGCCAAGGAATCTAATAAAAGTATTTATTTATACAGTCGGAGAAAAATCTAATTTCCAAATTACCTTTTCCTCTTGCTTATTTTCTAGCCGAGCTTATAGCACCACCGCGAGAGAGGCCATTTTCGTCGCTCTGCGGCACGGAATTGACGCGCGCGCACAGAGGCATGCACACGCGCGGCTCGACCTTATTAATCCATTAGACATTTTTTTTCCCCCCCGAGTTCGGGCTTACAAATTGCTAAAATTAGCTGTTTTACTTTTTTCCCCTCTCTCGCTCAGTCACTCTTTATTTTTCTCTCTCTCTCACTCTAACTCACGTAAATTTTTGCAGAGCTGGCCAGGAGGTGAGCCGACGTCGACGGAAAATAATGCGAGTATCGATCCACGCTGGGAGCACAGTGATGAGATAAATTGCCATTGCAATTTTTGCAAAAGCAGCCTCGTACGGCCGCGTGAGTATATGGCCAATTCTCTGTGAAATCGATTGGTCAAAAAAAATTTTTTTCTGCAAATATGAAAAACTTGTTGTATTTGATGTCAGAAATGTCCCCAAATTTTATTAGAATTTTTGGGGCCTTCTATGACACTTTTTCAGAGGCCCAAAGTTGGCCATTTTAGGGTTTTTTTGAAATTCATGAAAAATCACAAATATTAAAATAATTCCTGGATTAAAGTAGAATGATTCAAAAGTAAAAGTGCCCAGCAACTTTTTTGTTGGAAATTGTCCAAATTTTCAGAAAAAAAATATGCCAAAGTGATTGGAACAATCTAGGTAAATGTAAAGCAAAAAAACTGCAAAAAAAACATAAAACAAGAAATCTACTCGAGTTCGAACCGGACTTTCATTTCCTAAACTATGTAAAAAGCTTCCCAAAGATGTCAACTAATGCCTGATAAAGTTTTGTAATGGGTCTTAAAGTTTAACGCAATGTAGACAACAATGTGTGGCGAAAAACATGCAAAAAAGGTCAAAAATAGGCCCAAAATGCCTAAAATCACCAAAAACAGCCATTTTCAGGCCTTTTTTGCATGTTTTTCGCCACACATTGTTGTCTACATTGCGTTAAACTTTAAGACCCATTACAAAACTTTATCAGGCATTAGTTGACATCTTTGGGAAGCTTTTTACATAGTTTAGGAAATGAAAGTCCGGTTCGAACTCGAGTAGATTTCTTGTTTTATGTTTTTTTTTTATGTTTTCCCACTATTATGTATTTAGGTGGCTCCAATCACTTTGGCATATTTTTTTTCTGAAAATTTGGACAATTTCCAACAAAAAAGTTGCTGGGCACTTTTACTTTTGAATCATTCTACTTTAATCCAGGAATTATTTTAATATTTGTGATTTTTCATGAATTTCAAAAAAACCCTAAAATGGCCAACTTTGGGCCTCTGAAAAAGTGTCATAGAAGGCCCCAAAAATTCTAATAAAATTTGGGGACATTTCTGACATCAAATACAACAAGTTTTTCATATTTGCAGAAAAAAAATTTTTTTGACCAATCGATTTCACAGAGAATCGGCCATATATATATCCCCCGGCATACACATAGTAGTAGTAGTCTTTTACCCTCCCTGGACTTTTATTAAAGTGAAAGAAGCAATAAATTTGGCGCAACGATGAATTTTTGCAGCTCGAGCGTCGCAGCAGCAGCAGCTCGGCAACTCGGCTCATCGGGTCCATCCGTTTCAGAGCGTCAACGCCAACAAACACGGCTACACCATCGACTCGTGAGCGTCTCTCTCTTTTTTTTTATGGATATACATATTTTCTCGCGTATAACAAAGCAACGACGCGTCGTTCGAGCTATGCGCGTGGGGGGAGTCGATCTTAACGCGACCGGGTGTGACTCGAGATAGGATCATCTTATCGCGTCGTCACAGGCGAGCACGCATATTCTTATATTGGCAATCGCGCCGACGCATGCAAGCCGCTATATCATTTAATTCTCCTTCGTCATTATCAAAGTGCAAATATATGTTATGCGCGCGTCAATGTTATTAGCTGTATGCGTGTGTATTGAATTCGGCTTGATTTGCTGCGGTTGCAATCGGTCAGCAGTTGGCGGGTGAAAATCCACACTCCCGCATATCCAAACGTATATATGTATGTAGTAGCTATACCCGCGCATACGTGTATATATAAAGCCTGCAGATTCGAAGGGATACATTAGCCAAATCTCGTGCTATGGCGTAGGGCATTATGTGCTCAATAATTCCTCTCTTATCGATTGTTGCATGAAGCGTCGTGCATCATATGTTATTATAACGGCGGTGCAGCGACGTCGACGACGACGAGGACGAGGACGGGCCACTGCGCGCCCACCCCCTCGCTTCTGCTAGTTGAGCCTCCCCCGCACCCGCACGTGAACCGACCAAGCGATTTCCTCCGGCTCTGCAGCAGCAGCGCGCATACGTACGTGTAATATCCAGCTGCAGCGGACCGACAGCTACGTAGCCGTTAGAATTAATAATAGCCGATGCATTAGTTGCGGAGCGACGAGCTCGACTACGCGGCAGCAACGGACCAGCCAGTCGTAGCGGATATTTTGGATAGCGATGAGACCGCTAATTAGCTTTGGTCGCACGTAGTAATACACGGGCCGCCGCTTGCCACGTGCCAGCCTCGATTCGATCTGCCCTTTATTTTTTGCTACTCGGATTCTTCGTCGGATAACAACGTGATCGATCGGTATATATATCCAACATCTTTGTAAACTATTGTTGAATTAGCCGTGCAGTTAATTATTTAACGATTTCTGTCGTCGTCTCCAAAGTTTCATATCGATTGTAGCTGAATTGTCGAACAACATAAATTATATCGCAATCATATTTACGCGTTCATTTTTCAACCCGAGTAAATATCTCATGGGAACCTCGTGACAATGAGTCGTAGCTCTCGTGAACAATGCAAAAGTACCCCTCCTCCCTACTCCACCCGATACAAGTGAGATACGTCAAGAAAGCTCGAGTATCATCCGACTTTGAAGCTTACGCAACAGCAGCAGCTGCAGCGCTGCAGAACACGACAACGCACAAACTGTTTTATAATTTTAGATAATCGATGACGGGCACAAAGTATACACGCATCGAGGAGTGAAGGAGTTTCGCGCGTACACGCCTCGTAACGGCTTAAATTACGACCTCTCGTGCGTAATATATAGACATGTATAATAAGTTGTGCCGGTGCAGGAGCCCACGCCGCGCGCGAGTATATATAGTCAACGATGCAAAGCTAAAACGTTTATAACTCCGTGTAGCTATATAGGCGAGCTTGCGGAGCTCGACGAGAGGAGCGAACGAACCGAGTGAGAGATGCACAAGCCGAGAGAGCAAAAGGGAAAAAATCCCTAACGACCTAAGTTGCTGACAGTTCGAATTACTAACTAGTTATGGATAGTATCGACGCTAAACCTTATAGAGACGACGTCGAGCGACTACTGCACGAGCAAAACTTTTGCCAATTTTGATCTACTTATATAGGCGTCGCCACTCGCAGTACTCGCTTGTATACTCGCGCCCCGGCTTAGCTTCTCTTTCATTTCAGCATTTTTTTCAATAAATTTTTCAACGCAGCGTGCGCGCGCCAGAGAGCCAAATCCGCGTGACGTTCTATAAAGGTATAAAGCTCGATCGATTCGTCGTTGCCTCATTCGTTTCGTCTTTTCCCCGGCGCGCTCACCGACTCGATTCACCTGCGACGACGACGACGATGACGACGACGACGACGACGACGACGACGACTGCCGCGCTATACACGGCATTCGCAATAACGTCATCACCCATTTTGCAGCTGGAGGACCGAGAGCTCCGCCAGTAGAGATTACATTACCGACTTAACCGAACAGATTCGCGCTAAGGAGATGAAGCAAATGGTAAGGATTCATTTTCCTAATTGTTCCAATGCTCGCGCGCGTACTTGCGATGTATAATTTATTCACTCCTTTTTTTTCTCTCTTTTTCTTCTTCTTATACCCATTGCGGCGCATTACTTGTCGCGCGCTATTTCGTTCGAGCGAGTAATCGCGCGCGAGCGTGTCTAGATTCGGTTTACGTAATTATCTGCGCTCGACAATTTTTGTTGTACCTTTCTTTTTTTGAACAGAACCTTGACGGATGTCTCGTCGAATTGATTGGGAACGAAATGTATTTTCCTCGATAAATGCTCGAGATCGAAAAAAGCTGCGGCTTTATTTGATAATATTAGTTCTCGCTTGATACGACGTCGGATTAAAAAGTTGTATTTTCGCCGGAAATACTTGCTTTCAGTTATAAACCAAGTGATAAGAAAATACTTTTTCACGAACGAAATTTTATAAATAACGCAAATTTTACTTTGACAAGAAAAGTCATGCGTCCGGAAAATAATTGACGATATTAACGAATCGATGTAAATTCATATCCTAATTCATTCGAATGAAATATGCCTGTAATGCGCATCAGCCGAGGAAGAAAATTGTAATTAATTCAATCGTGAGCGCGAGCATTTGCTTACAATAAATTATCACGAAGATTCTCAGTGAAAACGAGCGCACAGTTTTAGGCATTTACGCAGGTCGAGCTTAGCTGGCGGCTCGTTAAATTCATCGAGAATTCACAGTTCATTTTGCATTATAGCTGCGGCGCGCGGAATTATTGTAACGCACGGCGGCGAGGTTCGTGCTGCGTATACGGGTCGCGGCGCGAGCTAGCTCCCAGGCACACAATAATACGATCGCCACCGATACACAGTACACTCACACACGCGCACGCACACACGCAAGGCAAAATATTTATCAAGCTTCGAGTTGATTTCACATAAAATATGTACTCGAGCGGATGTATAGTAGCCACCGCGCGTTTAGCAAATGGACGCGCGCCGCGAGGGGTATCGATGGCTTATGTTGCGGTAAAATGTAACGCGCGCGCGCCTGGCAGTAGCTGTGCAGCTCGAATGCAAGCCGCAAAACATATACGCGCGGATTAATGCAAATGTAAAATGTGGCATCATCAAATATAAATAGGAAATGCATCAATATGACTTTTTGACACGCTACGCGCAGGAGGAGCGTCGCAGGGAGGGCGAGAGCTGCCGCCAACACATGACGACGTGGCAGCGACTTTGGGGCAGACCCGGTCACGGAGCGCCCATCGATCCGTTTCAGATACGCCGAAATAACTTGAACGACATTCTACATCGACCGTCGTGAATGCAACAACGCCGTATCGCGTAGTATTGGTATAGAAGTAGTACCTGCTGCTGCTTCTGCAGCTGTACAGTGGCACGTGTGTCTCGTTTTAGCCTTATATAGCTCGCTCGAGCAGTACTCGAGCTCTCGTCCGCAGCACGACGATATCTTGGCGCAGCGTCGAAAGTAGATGTTTTATTGGCACCGCCTGTGCATCGCAGCCGTTCGACGTACTTCGATGTATCGGCCTTGTCGAGCAACAAAATAACAAACCCACGATCACCAATAATAAAAACAATATGTCAAAAAATATGTCTTTCATTCTTTGCAATCCTGATATTTTTGTTTTTTTTTTTTGATAAATTTTTTTCTTTTTTCGCACTGAGCATTTTTTTTCACCCTCGTTTCTCGCCCCCACACCACAAGCCCTCCTTTTCGTCATATCGCACGAATATAGTTACCGGGATATCGAATTTGCTCGCAAACGCGTGTACGCTTTCGACTTCGAGATAAGTTTGAATCTTATAATACTCCGAGACCAGCTAGTTTCTCTCACCCCGCGTGCGACGACTACGACTACAACGACGGCGTTTTCTTTTCCTGTGCACGTCGTTTCGACGGCGGCGGCGGCGGCAACGTCGGGGCGTCGTGACATCAAATTTTCATGAAGGACTCGAGTGAATAAGCAATATCTGAGTATTCCCCCAAATTTTCCTCTGTTTGAGATTGTTAATACGTATACATGCACTCACACGTAAGCGTCTCTTGCCGTGTAGCAAGTTTCCTGCTGTATACTCAATTCAATATTTACATTTCGGTTATAAATATTTTTTAATAGAAAATTCTTTAAATAGATAATAGATTCATTCTGGCTGTTATTATTTTTGAGCCAATTTTTCTTGAAATTTATTCACCGATCATGGGCTGTTTTATAAAAATTGTACAAAGCATAGATATGAATGTTTTTACGGTGAATTTATTTATTTAATCTGGCACACTATTCGACACATAGCATTTTAAAAAAAAGTATTTTGAAAATGCATTGAGCATTATCGAATATTTCAAAAAGAACCTTTACAAACATTTTTGTTTTGATATGAAGTTGAGAATATTTTAAAATATCCCGTCATTTCGATCGCATTTTCATGATGATTTGCTGCGCAGCCACTCTAAAAGCTTACAATGTTTTGAATTTTTCCGCCCAGCGAAATGTGCATCTTTTTACCCGTGTACATGCATAAATAACAGATACAAAAAACCAGTAAGTGAGAGGGAGAAAGAGAGAGAGAAAGTTAAATACGATGGCCGAGAGATAAAGAAGAAAAGAGATGTGTGAATTTTCCACGCGCAGTTGAATGAGAAAGAGCAAAAAATTAGCTTATTTATCTTCATTAAGCTCCAAATCTTCCTTAGCTCATCCGCAAACTAAATCCCCCTTTTGCGCGGGCTCACGCCCACTCGCTTTTTCGAATATATACTGGCTATACGTGAGAGTAGAAAGGGCAGCGGCAGAAGCAGCAGCAACAGCGACTACTATGGCCATGGCGTAGCAGCTAGTTAGGCAAGCATTAAATTGAGATTATAGCGTCCGCACGTTTCCTGACGCAAGTAATTTTGACCCTCTCTCTCTCCCAGTCTACCTTTTTCTCTTTTTCTCCCGCACTGCACTTCCTCTGATTTCTATATATAATATAAATGGATTTTATTGCAGCGTTTATTTTGCCTTCAATTTTTTTCCACTTTTTTCCAGACAATACGGATATTATGCGATAGACGCGATCATTTTGTGATTTTTAAATTATTTTTTTTACCGACAAAAAATATGAGATATGTGTTCGTGCTATTGTTGGCAAGTTGATACCCGTCAAGAGCTTTTGCGCTGCTCTTGAACTGTGCAAAATCTTTCGTTATACCCTAAAATTGAATGTTCTATCAGCGATTTATCCTCAGGTATGTTAAAAACATGCAATATGCGAGCAATGTATTTATATTCTTCAAAAAAGAGTTACATGTATATATGAACATAGTACGAGTTTATTTTTGTACGGAAAATAAATGTTGCATCAAAACGGTGCATATGATTTTTTGTTGTTTGTTAACAAATGAAATACACTTTTTAAAATGAATATTCGCATATCGATTTATTCATCATTTAGGCCAATCAAACTAGCCTCAGTTTTTTTTCCTCTCTCTCGAACAACTTGGCTGTAATTTTAAGCTCGTTTTTAACTTTGGTACAATGTCAATAGTCAATGGTAAAAATTTAGCATTTCAATTAATCGCCGTCAGCAGGTGATTCAGCCGGCATTATAATTATACGCGAAAAAAAAAGCTATAGAAATCAAAGCAAACAACAGATTTCATTATTTTTTACCTTTTCCGTACGAATTTCTGCTGAAATGCACGTTAATGCCGGCTTTTAGATGGAAATATGCAAAAATAGAGTTTTCGGTAATGGTAGATTTATTATGTTGAAGTATAAAAGAAATTTGCGAAAAAGTAAGCACAGTCATAAAATAATGCGTTCGCTGCGCGCGTAGTATATAGACGCGCCGTCTATATATAATACACATACTCGCGCGTGCATGCAACTCTATATACGTATACAGAGGATAGAAGAAATCATAAACCCGCTTAAAAATCTACTCGCACCGCTGTGTGGTGGCCATACAGTATACAGAGAGAAAAAGCTCTTTTCGAGCGAGCGATACTTTTTCAAAAATGCCTGCATAAATAAATATATGCACGCGCGCGCGCTTTGCATTCTTGCCGAAATTTTTACACAGATTTCGAAACTCTCTCGGCACTATGGCACACAGGGGACACGAGCAAGGTATTTTTGACGAGGAGTACTTTATTTTCCAAAACGCAAGCTCGCGCAGGCATTGCGAGGAGGAGACGAGCGAGGCGACTGATACACACAAAACCCTGCGTGTGCACACATAGGCGGCGTGAAAAAAGTCACCGCCGCGCACGTAGTCGCGGGACCGTCGGAATACTTTAGTTTTCGAATTTCAGAAGTTTATACCCGTGTAAGCAATGCCAAGCAGCGTGTACGAGGCGGCGAATAAGGTCTCGTATAAGCGACTCGCGCAGTTAAAATAACGATAATAATAATAAAAACAAGAGGACGACTATAGGAAGCGACACGTGAATATTTGCAAGTGTACATGTCTTGTATGGGCGGCTGAGTGTGTCTGTGTCTGTGGGTGTGCGGCAAAGGGGGGGGGGGGGAGTATTATACGCGGCATAAAGCTGCGCCTGGCTTGGTCGGATGAAGTGGGCTGGGGGTGCAGCAGTAGTATAAGGTTAAACTATTATATATACACATGCATTAAATACACTCGGCGCTCGCGCTCCGAGCTGTTATTTAAGTTGACTACATACACATACACACACACACATACACATACAAGTGAAAAGCAGGCAGTAGTGTCTTTTACATAGAGGAGAGAAAGAGAGAGAGAGAGAGAGAGAGAGAGAGAGAGAGAGAGAGAGAGAGAGAGAGATAGAGGCCACACAGTGTATTGTCTGACTATTCTAATGGCTTACCACTCGCTCACCATTTCTCTATGTGCATGCTGTTTATGTGTACGTGCGCACGTTGGCCCGTGCTCCTCTACGCTGCTTCTGCTGCTGCAGCTACTGGTTTGCCTTATAGCGCGCGGCAGTCGGGGCGCTGCGATTAATTCTTCCTGAGAATATCAGTTCCGTTTTGCTGCTGCATTTCCCAGAGCTTGAAAATGTATATATCTTTGAGTGCACAAGATAGGAGAGGCTATGCGCGAAGTATCGTGCTCAAGCGCTCACATATACAGAGAGAGAGAGAGAGAAAGCAAGTTCGAAATAACGGTGTTTAAGAGCTTCGCTCTGCAGCACCTCTTTATTATTATTACTATTATTATTATCATTATTATTATCATTTTCGCGAACGTGGCTGAAAAAAACGGTAATTTATAGGAGATGTTGAGCTAACAAGAGGCGCACGAGAGAAAGGATGCGGATCGGCTCGAAGGCTTTCATTAAGGAAGACGAAGGAACTCGATATGTGTAGGGGGCAAAATTTCTCGCGTGGGTCATTTTCAATGATGCACGAGCCAATCGTATTACCGGTTCGCAGTGCTATTCGTATTATCTATCTGCGAGCAATATTAAAGTTTTGGCCATACGCGCAATATGCTACACCACGAGAGTGAGAAAAAGAAGGAAATATAGCAGGAGAGAGAGAGAGAAAAATAAAAAACGACGGCCCGTATAGCTAGCTTTCAGCCTAGATATATCTATAATTCAGTGGTGCGCTCGCTCGCTCTCTCTCTCTCTCTCTTTTTCTGAAGCTGCATCGCATGAAGCTGAATTCTGTTTTTTTCTTCATTCTTGACTTTTGCCTGGCACTTCCATTTCGACTTATTTCAAAGTCCACACAAGATTAGATCCTCGTCTGAATTATTTACATGACCTCTCTTACACTCGGGGGAGAGGGGAGGAGGTGCTTCCTCTCTCTTTCTCTCTCTCTACAAGCTACATCGTCGTGTACTTGCGGTCGACAGCTTTTCCAGCGCCCCGAGACGGATGTATTATTTATCACTGCGAGCAAATGAAAAATCAAAGTTTCGCCGAGCAGCAGCGAAGAGTATACGGTACACCGCGAAGAATTAATGCGTCTTCGACGGCCCTGTCAGGCTCGCGCTGCGCCTGGCTCGTCATCGCTCCTGCGCGTATACTGCATATAATACAGGCGCTCAAAAAAGTCATCGTAATTCATTGGCTTGTGCACAGTTATAGACGCGCGACGTGTGTAGCGGCGGTATCAGCGTTCGCGCACATGTTGTTAATATATAGCTTTGTATTTTACCCATATGTATATACGAGCGCGCCTGGCGGAGACGCATATCCTCGACTCCGGTGGCGGCTGCGGTGCTGGCAGCTACCTTGCTTATCTCGAGCTATATCGCACGTCGTACGTTGCATGGCTGCTGCGCCTTAGCCAATCCTTAGCTGCGCTATGTATAGGTACAGCAGCAGCATGCAGAGCCGTGTATATATACGTACGCTCCATGCACGCGGTGGGATAAGGCGTGTAGCAGCAGCCACCGACGTTTCCACGATGATATATTTATTTTTTTACCCGTAGCGACAGGCCCAGTTTTCCCTCTCTGCGCAGCCTAAATATACGTTTCAATTTTCGAGTAACTATTTTTCCCACGCTCGTTCTTTTTTTTTTACCTTTTATTTTCACTTCAAAGCCACTGCATAAAACATACTGCATGAAGAAATATAGT